GCACATTTTCAAACAAAAGCAAGTGATTTAGCAAGCAACTAAGAGCCCATAGATAACTACGGATGAAAAGGGTGTTAACACCTTCCCTTTTCATAACCTACCCCCCGAACTCAAGAAATAATCTCGAAAGGTCTTTCTTGTTCTTTTCAACCTTTCCTTATTGGATAAAAGAAAAACCAGTGGCGACTCTTGCTATCCGCAATAATTGTGATCAAACGCAAAACACCCAAGTCAGTTCTCCCACCGTGTTTCAGGTGCCACTGGGGCTCGAACCCAGGTCCCTATAGATCAATGCCTTACGCGCGCTTCCTCTGCCACTGGGTGGATGTTTCAACCGTGTATAAAACAACTTGCAATAAATATAAAATAAACTCAATCCTGAATATGACTTCATCCCTAACCTCATGCCAGCCTCCATTGTTACATTTTAAAATTTATGAACTTTCTCATTTCTCAACCATTTTTAAAAGTGTAAACATGAAATTTGCTCCATTTTCAACATGAATCCAACCATGTAAATAACTAAAGCTATAAATCAAAGATGAACATGAATTTTGTTTAGTACCAAATAAAACCTAATTTTTTCAGAAAGTTCAACTTCAAAATTCACATCACTCAGGAAACATAAATGAAAACTAAAGGCATGGTTATCTTCAGGGCAATGATGCCTACGTTTTTAATTAACAAAGTAACCATTAATGATGCTTGTAGGGAGAGCTCAAAATTGAGAAAACTTACCTCAAAACTGGAAATCGTATATGGACTTTGAGCACCTTTGGAAGTGTTGTGATGATCTGGATAGCTTCACTGAACTCCTAGGAAGCTAATGTAACTTTTAATTTGTGTTGAAAGTGCTTGAATCGTGCTGGAGAAGTCAAGTTGCAGAGGTGTAAAGTGAGGTTTGGACAATGATGGAAATGGAGTTACAGTTATGAAACAGGGATGGGGATGATTTGTAAATGAGGTATGGAAGCTTTGTAATTGATTTAGAGAGGAAACGCATGAGTGGATTGTGAGTTTGAAGTTTTTGGCCAGAAATGACAAATAATGGAGGTTTTGATGTAATTCTGAGTTTGAGGGCTTGTCTGTAACACCTCATTTCTACCCGGCGAATATTAATAAAATCAGAGTTTCAAAATTTTGACATACAAATAGGATGCTACACTTACAACTTATGACAATGGCGTTTAATCGCATGTAAAATAGATACATAACACTTAAACTTTGATGAACTGTTAATCACATAATTTAGTCTTTATAATAAAATAACTTTCATAACTACGCAACAAATTCATATTATTCAACTAAAAAGAACATAACATCTTTGTCCGACTGAAAATAACTTCAAAACAATAAGTACTTAATGAAATCAACTTAAAATTCAGCAACGGAAGTAAAATCAATAATAAAGCAACAAGCGTTCACCCCCCCCCCCCCCCCCCTCCCCCCCGAGTGTTACGTATCAGAGCGACGACACTGACTTGAACTACTGAAGGTAAACAACCTTCATTCTGGATTACCTACATGTTACCAACAATTTACCCTCCCATTTTTCATTCAAGATACTATCCTAGGGTTTCCCGAATACTCAATTTGGCTCAGAAGTTGATCAGAAGAATTCTCCTCCTAGGCAGTAAGTCAACAATTAGGGTTTGGTATTTCTTAAAGAAAATTGAGACTTCAAGGTTTCAAATGGTCTTCATAGATCTTCATGTATCCTCAAGGATGTTCGTGCCAAGTTTCAAACCTCTCATTGCAAGTTTTCTCAGTCAAAGTTTCAAATGACTGAAAATCAACTACATTGACCCAAAAGCCGACCTTCTCAAGATCAAGTTCAAACGATTGTAATTTCTTCATTATTCAGTATTTTTGAGTTGTTCTTTTTGCGTATGACTCTCCTTGACGTCATCTCCAACTTCTCTTTACAAGTCAAGAGTCGATTATGTGTGAAAGATCATCAAAAATTCGAATACTTTAGAGGACTATGATTCTCATGTTGAGATCATTCATTGAACAAGATGTTGAGTTCATAGATTCATGTTGAGTTCGAACAAGATTTTGCTTGTAATACAAGTCACCATGTTAGAAATTAGTTTAGGATGATTTGAGGATTCATTTGAATAATGTCTTTGATTTCAATTCAAGTTAGTAAAGCATTACGCGATATCAAAAGTTTCATCCAAGTTTTCTATGATTCATTCGCACGAATCACTTTGAATTCAAGGTTTCAAATACGTTCATCATTTCTCAAGATTCATTCAAAGAGATTTTTTTGATTCAAATTTGTCAAAGTGAACCCATATTTCAAACTTGGAAGATTGTGCATCAAGAGGATTATTGGGAAGTTGAGATTGAAATATAGCATGAAAGTTTATCAAATGCATTGTGTAAATAACAAGTTTTGATTCAAATTCTTAAGGTCATGATTTTATCAATATTTGATTCAAGGCTAAAAAAAATTCATTCATGTGATTCCTTGGTATATAAAGTAAGAATGAACAAAGGAATATATTTGTCAAGATACAAGTATCAAAGATACATTCATTCAAGTTTTACCCATGCTTCGTTCATGAGAAAATTCATTCAAGGGTTATATCCCTCATCATGGTTTAAGATTGCTCGTTTCAAGATTATCCAACAATTTCATGCTAAGTCTTTCAAACTTATCGAAGATACATTCATGGCAAGTTTTATCCATCAAGTTCTATCAAGAAGGGGGTACTTTGTCAGGACCAAATCCCTCTTCATAGTCGAGCCCTTGATACTAAGCACACATATACTCTTTCATTTTTGCCTCCTTGGAGGATATAATACTTTAAAAAATTGCTCTTAGAAGAGAGAATGCATCTCACTGGGTCTGAAGACAAAAATCCAAAATGGGCCTCAAGAGTAACAGGTTTCACAAGCTTGAAACGTTTGAGGAAGTCACCCCAGTCATTGGTGAAAAATTTGAACCAATGTTGTTGAGGGCGAAGGAAGATCAATCCCTGATCTCCAAGCGTCGTACCGAGAGGTACGTGCCACACAAAATAGGTTAAAAAGACATCTAGAGAAGGTTCTTAATACTTATGCTTAGCACATAGTTGGAACACCTTCATGAAAGCCCAAGCTGCGAGATAAAGCTGTGAGGGGGTAACTCTCAAGCAGTTCAACAAGGCCACCTCAAAATCAGAAAAGGGAAAATGTATACCCAAGCTGGTGAAGAGACATTTGTACAAAGGAACTAAGAAACCTTCAAAAGGGATGCGTATCCGCTCCGTCGGGCGCACTAGGATAAATAATCAATTTGATGGATTACGGACCATAATGTTAGCATTTGTTATAGCCTCGACATTGTTCAAGGTTGAAGGAGCCCTAACCACTTTGGTGGACATCTAGTGATGTCTATTAGTGTTGTCCATCTCAACTAACCGAAGTCCTCTTCGGGACAATTCATCGGCTTTAAAGTGACCACCAAGATTAATCCAAGACACGTTGTTAGATTGTCCCTGGCATTACAAATGACGTGCAATTTCGGTATCGCTAGGCTCACAACCATTCACTCCCCAGTATACCCTGATAAATTTTCTGGCACATTCACTCCTTCACTGAGTAGCTTATATATCTATATTAGTTAAGATAAGGGGGACATCAGTTTCTCGACAGAATCCTCACTCCCACAAATTTTTCCTAAAGGGAGAGTTCCTGGAAAGTTGCTAGAAGAAGTTCCCTCAGAAAAGGAGCCCCCGAACACTCCTTCTATTTCAGAATCTTCAATCAGAGAAGTAATCTCTATTTTGAAATCCCCATTAGCAGAGCAAAGAGAAGGCGATTCAGGTTCCACCCTCTTTGTCGAAGAGGAAAAAACACTACTCTCTGAATCACTCTCTATGATGATAAGGCTCATCGCAACAAATGCTTGAATAAAAAAATCTAAGGTGGAGAAGAGTTACCTTGAAATGTAAGGCCAGAGGCAGGAAATCAAAAGGAAGGCCAAAATTCGAAACTTTGAAGCTTTCAATGCGGGACGACAGTTACTCCTGTAAAAGCGCTCTCAAAGAAAAGCGAAAGACTCAAAGAAAACAAGGGAAACTCAGTCGAAAAATATAGCAAAAAGTTTTGCCACATTCCCTTTATCATTTATATAGCCAAAGAAAAGAAGGAGGATGAGATTGAAAGTAAGCAACAAGTGCGGATCAACGATCAGATTTCCTCTTGGGAACATAAGCAAACTGAAATACATTTTAGTGCATAGTAAGTTGTGTCACATCACTCTCTGTCTTTTTTGGTCACACGCTAAGAGCAAAATAACGAAATAATATAGAATAAAATGTGAAGATAGCAAAAAAAACAAAAACGAATAGAAATAGAGTAATAATATAGTATAACGCATCATGATAGAAAACATTTTGGTTTGATTTGAAATAATTTCACACATTGGAGTGAGATTGTTTTTATGTATATTTTTAATTAAAAAATTTGTCAAAATCTATTTCATTGAAGAATTGATTGAAATTCGCAAACTTTTGAAACTTTTTATAAGTTATGAGAAATCTCAATTGAATATCAATAAATTACATTGTTCTAAAGAAAAAAATCACGATTTTTTTAATCGAATATTACAATATTTATTAGAATTTTATAAAAATATTGATTGAACATGATAGAAAATTTAATTATAAAAGTTTTAAAATTTCAATCCAATACACCCCTTAAATAACTTAAAGGTTGTTGATGGTTGGGAAATGAAACATATGTTTGTGATGAGAATTATGAATTCATGCACCAATCAATATAGTTAATAGTTTAAGTAAGCCATGTTTGAAATTTATTCCATCCGTCTCATTTGACTTTGGCATAATTTTAAAAAGAAAACGTGTTAGAATACTCTCTTTCAATTTGCAAGACTTTGACATAAGTCCTATTTTTTTCATTTATTTAATGATATGTGTTGCTATAAAATAGAACTCCTAACAAATCATTCAAATTACAAGCACAGAACAATTGTTTTCAGCTCTAACATGGGAAATTTACTTAAGTATGTGGGAGTATTTACTTTGATGTTTGCATTGATGATAGGAGCATTTGAATGCAAAAAGATACAAGAAAATGAATCGGTTTTCGATTTTGGTGGCCGCAAATTTGGAAATGCGTGTGGAGCAATTGGACCATTTGGTGGTTGTCATCACCCGTTCGTACCACCAAAATTCTCACCACCAAAATTCTTAAGGTGATTTTAGACGAATGAAGTTTTTTTTATAAGTTATTCAAATAGAGATCAACTTCAAAAAAATGTGTATTATGTTTGTTATTTTTATTAATTTTGAATTATTTTATAGTGATCATATATATAATTATTATTGTATTTGACAAAAATGGTATATGTGTATCTTTTGATGTAATTGAGAGGTTCAAATTATATGATTTTTGAATAAAAGTTTTTAGATTGGTGTGTTTTAAATTATAAATTAGATTTTGGAGATTGTGTAGTAATCAAAAAATGAATAGAGGGTTTGTTTTAAATAAAATTTATGAGGTGTAAAAGATGAAGATGAAATATCTTAATTAAATTGAAACACTTATTTCTAACCATCAAAAGCAACATTTCAAAGGAAAATGTTATTTAAAATTGTAAAGGAAAACAATTATTTTGGAGGGACACTAGGCTAAAATCCAAGAAAGAATTGAGGAAAAGGATAAAGTGGTGTGGTGGAGACATGTAAAAGATTTTTTAATGAAAATAATTTATTAAAATATTTTTCTTAGTTGTAGTTATCAAAATAGTCACCTAAGTTGAAATATTCTAATATGAGAAATGTCCATAAGTCTTGGTGTATTAATGATATGTACTGCTATAGATAGAACTCCTAGGCAAGCACCCATTCAAAACGAATGAAGTTGTTCTCACAAGTTATTCAAACAAGCATCAACTTTGGAAAGATATGTATTATGTTTGATATTTTTATTATTTTTAAATTATTTTATAATGATATATAGTTTACTTAAACAGAAAAGAAATATGTATAAAAAAATATTATTGTATTTGATATGGTGTTCTGCATATCTTCGGATGTAATTGAGAAGTTAAAATAATATGCTTTTTTGAATAAAAAAAATTTAAGTTGGTGTGTTTTAAATTAGGATTAATAGCTATTTACTTCCTATAATATAAATGAGTTTTAATTTAGTTTTTTTTTTTTTTAAATTTCCAATTATCTTCTTATAATATTTTGGGTACTCCTATGTATATAAAAATGAGAGGAGTAAATAAATTTTTTTTTTTACAAGGAGTGATTTTTGTACTTAAGAAACAAAAAAAAAAATTAGAATTTTAATATTTTAAAGAGATGATCAGTTTTTTTCAAATGAGCAAATTAAAACTCACCTCCATTACAGAGAATAAATGACTATTAAATCTTTAAATTATAAATTAGATTTTTAGAGATTGTGTAGTAATCAAATTAATAGAGGATTTATTTAAAATAAATTTATGAGGTGTCAAATATGAAGATAAGACATCTTAACTATTTTGAAACACTTATTCTCTCCTCGTTTCTTTATAATTGTCATTTTTATGGAAAAAATTTGTTTCTAATTAATTATCGTTTTCAAATTTTAATGTAATAATTATTATCGTTTTATCAAAATTATCCTTACTTATTTATTATGAAAAAGAGAAAAGTATATTAAAATGATTAAAAATTAATGGTATTATAAATAAATAAAATCATAGTCTAAAAAGGAATAATTATTATCAATTTTCTTGATATATATAAAATATTAAATTATGACAATTAAAAAAGTATTTTTGACCATCAAAAGCAACACTTCAAAGTAAAATGTTATTCAAAATTGCAAAGGAAAACAAATATTTTGAAGGGACCAGGCCAAAATCAATTACGAGTATTTGTTTCATTAAAAAATACTATCAGAAAATTAAAGTGGGATAAAATTGATGAAAGAAAAAAAGTGTAGTGCAAACAAAGCAAAAACACTTAATATAGAGTATGAAAGATGGTAATCCATATTTGTTGATAAAGAATTCTCGCATGATATAATTTGATGAATTATATATGCCACCAAATAAAACCATCATAACCAAAAGCAATATATCCACTAATAATTCCTTTTCTATATATATGAGAGAACTAAAAATGAAGGTTTCAAATTAAATAAGGTAGTCTGGTATTTTCATTTGAATATTTCAAAGGACAAGCTTTTAACTTGAGTGATTTTAGGAGCAACTAGAGCATGACAAGTAGTGTCAATTATTATTATTTTTTTATAATTTTGAATTCTTAATTACAAGAATGCAGCGTTTTAAAAATTGGATCAGACCGGTCAATAAAGTCGAAAATCGGTCTGATTCAATTGTTGAATTAGATATGTCGTTGTATTGGTATGAATTGGTAAGCCGCTAAAATTGGAAAAATCGATGGTTTTTTTAAATCGGTGATTTAATTACTTTTTTAATTTTTTTTAATTTTTTTTTATATTTTAAAAAAATCAAAACAACATAGTTTTGATTATTTATTAAAAAATTTAAATAAAAAATAAAAGATAAAATAAAATAATGATATCATTGACGGGGAAGATATTGTAAATACGATTGATTTTGTTGCGGATGATTTTGATATTGAAGAAGGAGATCTCGATATTGAAACAATTTTTCCTCCTTAAAATTAAATTTAGTAGACAATATAGTTAGTTTGCTATAAATTATTCAATTACATTATGTTTCAATTAGACTTTGTTAGTAATTAGATTTTATAATTTTGTACTATTTTGTTATATGTGATACCTATGTTTAAAATTTGAATTTAATTTATGAACTTGTGACTTTATTTATGTATGATATTTTCAAAAAAATTAAAGTGCTAATTATATTTTGTAGAGACTGAATCATTTGGTTCGACAGATTTTATATCTGTATAGTTTTGTTATAATGACCGATCTATTCAACCAAGTTATCCAGTTTAATCTGGTTTAATCATGCGGTTCGATCAATGACCTAGTAATTCGACTAATAAACCAGTGATTCAGTACGCTCACCGATTTGATGTCCGATCCAATTTTTAAGACAATGCAAGAATGTATATATCTTTAGACTTATATATATCATTTAGACAAGTTTGTGAATAAGAATAAATTCTACATAATATCTTGGTCATTATGAACATCATGAAACCGCATTTTGTTCTTACAAAATCAAATATACTAAATAATATGATTTTTTTTAAATAATCATATTTTTTGAAAAAAAAAACTTAAATAACCGACATTTCAAATATTATATCAAAGTAATCAGGTTTTAAACAAAAAAAAAATCACCTGCAAGAGGAGGCATCACTATTTATGGCGCATGTAGTTAAATTTGAACATTGACGCTAATGTATGTGGTGCATGCACTATCCTGATGCTAAAGAAAGTGACGCATACATTGACTGCATAAGAGGAGGTGACGTTCCCTCTGGCCCCTAAGTACTTTGATATTATTTTTTTTAATAAAGTTGTAACAAATTAAAAATAAATTGAAAAAATATTAATATTATTGTTAAAATTTTAGAGTGTTGGCTGCATTTTATTAAAACAAGTATTTCAACAAGATGTTGGACAAGATGTCTTGACATGTTGGTACGACATCATAGTCTGACTTGTTTCCATATTTCGAAGATTTGTTTCAGATTCTCTAAAGTTTTATTTTACGTGGCCTAAGATTTCAGATACATGTGTGAAGATTTGATTCCCTAAAGATTTGTTTCAGCATGCGAGATCTGAAGATTTGTTTCTTAAGATTGGATGTCTTAACATTCAAGGAAACATTATATTTTGCACCAGAATACCCTGCTAAAGATTTGATTTGATTTGCAGATTATTTAGCCATACTTGATCTCTAAGCCCAAACGTTTTTCCTGAAAGAAAGACTATAAACCTAAGCAAGACAAAAGACTCAAATGTGAGAAAATACATTATATTTTAGTTTATTCTTTGTTGTTTGTGAGTCACTCTTGTATCGTTTTGATACTTGAGTTGGACTGAGTTTTGAGTTGTAATTGTGAATCACTCATGAGATTTTAAGCAAGAGTTGATTGTGTTTCATTGGAAGTGTGTTTTCTATTTGTTGTTATTGTTGTCATCACAGTTGTGTGATTGAGGCGAAGTGAGAGGGGTCTCATATCTAGGAGAGTTTTAGATAGAAATTACACGAGTAATGATTAGGTGAGAAATTTGGAAAACCAGAGGTTGTTTAGAACTTTAAACTAATATTATTATAGTGAATTTCCTTCCTGGCTTGGATGCCCCCAGATGTAGGTGAAATTGCATCGAACTGGGTTAATAATTATATGTGTTATTTATTTCCTGATGTATACTTCAACTTGTTTATTGTTCTGTTTGTTGTTACGATGTGTTAACATTACGCTCGATATTGTTTTTGACATCCTGGTGTCGTCACATCGTATACGACATATGTCTTATTGTGCCAGAATTTCAATTATTAAAGATAAATATAATTACAAGGCGAAAAATTTCTTAAACACATTTTAACGACACATTTGATCATATAACGACCAACGATTTTACAATCTGGTGTTGCCGTTCGTCGTGGAGGCTGTACACGACCCATCTAAGATGGTTGTTCTCTCCTAGGATTCATCTGAGGTGTTCAGTGGCTCCTTAGATTCACCTGGGGTATTTGGTTCGAGGTCCTTGGAACATCATTATCATCAATCATATCTATCATCTCTCGCCAGTTACATGTGTTGTCTGTGAATACAACTTCGTCATTAGATATTTTACATGATGTCAAAACTGGGAAAAACTAACATTTCTGTACATTGGATGATATCTCTATGTCTTGGCACTCCTTTGTATTAGAGGTCTTAGGAACCATTAAAAAGAATTTTGAAATTGATCCAAGTCATAAAAACAAATTTCTGCATAAATTTCATTGCATGTTTTGACACATACGATTTTCAGGTCGACACATGCAACTCAGTTTTGAACCCTGTAGCCTCTGGAAGGCTCAGGTCGACACATGCATTGCACAGGTCGACACATGCATTGCACAGGCCGACACATGCATTGCACAGGCCGACACATACTGAAGCATTTCTGAAATTGCAGAAATTCTTATTTTATGTGTCAACACATACAAATTTCAGGTCGACACATTTACTGTTGTTTTAAAGCCTGTAGCCTCAGACTTGCTTCGGCCGACACATACCTTCCTTCAGGTCGAAACATACACCTTAAACTTAACGTATGTGTTGATACATACGATTTATAGGTCAACACATACTGATTGTTTTGATCAATTTTTCAAATCTTTTTAATTACAAAAAAGTCCTTTTTACCCTAAATTTCTAAAACTATAAATACACCATTCATGCATCATTACAACTTGATGATACCATAAAATTAGCCTACATTTTCTCTTCATCTTCAACCTCCAACCTAGCATACACACTGACAAACCATTATAACGATTATTTATTGGGGTTCCATCTAGATGAGGTTTGATAACGTCTGATTAGGTTCTTGTGTAGCCGAGAATATTGGGTTGAGATTTGTAGGGGTCTTTATCCGGAAAAAATGCGGGATTGTCCTCCATTCTCTTACAGCGCTCAACAAATGTAACATATGTCGTTGTAAATGTGGGATCCCTCATACTAGCCAAGTTTTGATTACACACATTTACCCCGTCTTTCGCACTTTTCTTCCACCTCTTTAATAGTAATGACTCAGGAATATTGACTATGTTCATGTATATCAAAACAGACATCAAATGTATGCATGTAATTCCCAAAGTTTGAAATCTTTTGCAAGAACAGTCAAATTGTATATTTTCTTCGAGGAATTCCACTACCCATTCAATATTTGGCCTCACATGTTTCGTGAAGATATATGAAAAACCGATCATTCCTTTGTTACTTTCTCAACCTTGCACCAATAGGCTCTATCCAAAATTGTTCTAAACATCTTAAAAATTGACCTAGTGTAACAATTCGCTGCAGACTCCTTCAAACACTTGTGTTGAATTTGTAACACTGCCTTGTTGTACAACGACTCAAAATCTGCTTCAATTTCTCTATAACTAATGTAATTCAACTACCAGAAGAATTGTTGCAAGAAATCAACCAAATTTGACAGAACAGATACATATTTTCCAAATTCAGAGTGAAGCCCTTTGCACTTAGAGGTTGTCCGAAATCTAGCAAAAAACTCCCCTCGTATGTGGGTTGTAACCCACATACCCCACTTTTCATACAACTCGCGTATCCAACTATTCCTTTGTAGTCGAAACTCATTGATTATTGCATTCCATTTTCACTCGAACTCATCAACATCAAAATCTCCCAGCATGCATTGCCTAAACTTGGATACAAATTTCAAATTCTTAATGTTACTAGTGGTGTTCCTTAACAAATTACAGGCACATAAACGTTGATGAGCATTTGGAAATACCTTTTTGTTGCATTCCTCGTGGCCAAATCACCGTCGATTATAACGAATATAGGATACTTTCCGCCCATAACTTCCACAAACGTCTTCAAAAGCCAAACATAACTTTCTTTGGTTTCATCACCAATTGTTGCACTTGCAAATATTATTCTTTGATTATGATGATTGACTCCATACAATATCACTAGCGGGGTACTGTATCTTATTTTCCTGTATGTGGCATCGAAAGCTAAGACATCTCCAAAAATAGAATAGTCCATGTGTCCTATACCGTCACACAAAAAAAAAGTTCAAGCATTCCATCTTCTTTAACCGTGTGTCTCCAGAACATCATGTCATCCTTATATGACATTCTCTTCCGGAGTTCAAGTGCCTCATCGGCATATGACTTCTTTGAACCCTTTTTTCTTGAACTGTTTGTTGTACATGTCTCTCATAGGATAACCAAGCTTTGCATATCCTCCTGTCTGGTTTGCAAAATACCCAAAAATTCGGGAGGTTAGAATGCCTGATTCTCTCATGGTATTCATTTGGTATTTGTCGTATTCATTCATCTTCCCGTGTGCAGGAAGAATCCGCTCATACTTGTTATCGACAAATTTATGGTTATGAACATCATCAAAAAATTTAATATACCAATGCTCAGTGTTGAAGTTAATATGTACTTGGATTCTTGTCAAACAACCACACCTGCTAGTTGGTTTATGTTCACGCTTTCTAACTTCATAATTGTTGTATATGTCATCTCTAGCACCTTCCTTATGGTAGAGAAATGTTTGTTGAACTACTTCACCATTGACATTCCTTACCATCTCACTCTTCCTACCAGCAAATCCATGGATACATCCATACCAATTGTAAAACATAAACGCAACTTCACGATGTGAAAAATGGTACTGCATTATTTGTTCAGAACTTATTTCTTTGAAATCTATTTTCTCTAGATCAGACACGCAATTAACTACAGTTTCATCATAAAAAATGCAACCTACAGCCTCATTGATGTTGTCTCCGGCATCCTCTTCTGATGACAACCTACTATCTTTCGAAATAGATATATCGCCTAAATCCTATTCAAGATATATAACAAAACATCAAAGTTGTATTTTCACTTTACACTACAATAACACATAATATTAACTATAAATATGTAGAATCCACCATTTAATTAACGATACGTACCTCAGCCGGACTGTCATGACTTTCACTATTGTGGGATCCTTGAATCTGGATCCATTCAAATAACATATTCAAAATGAACAAAACGCACATACATAGTTAAACTGAATCAACAAACCCTAAACGAATATCTTTCCAGACTAACCAAACCTAAGCTACAAAATGAACATTTTCATTACCTGATAAAGATTACGTTACTACACTGAACGATAACAAAAACTATAACAAACATATAAACATAAATCTTTCATCTTCAATAAAGTCTCGTTCATAACCATGCTTACAGAAAACGAAAGGGTTTTTAAACAAAAATACATTTCTTAATAGAAAAATTATATTCACAAATATTAAATACCTTTGTTCAAACTTTCAACTTTAGTCTTGCAGGTTTCTGAAATTCTGAAGTTCTTCAACTTTGAAATTATCCAATATACTTGGATAACAACGAAGAAACACATAAATTTTTATTGTTACTGTAAGTGTTAAATTAAAAATAAAAATTAAATAATATTATTATTTGAGATGTGATATATATTGAAAAGATGAATAACAAATAGCAATAAAAATAAATTAATATATTAAAAGAATGATTTTAAAAAATTGGTAACAAGTCATAACCTATTATTATAGGTCAAAATGACAATTTATCCATAATAATCAAAATGTTGTTTGACCATATATTTATATCTGTATTTTTAATAACATGTATAAATGTGACTCTCCTAACTGTGCAATAGCGAAGATAAGTCTTAACTATTATGGTTGTTTGTTGTTGGTTGTTGGTTGTTGATAATTATGAATACATACACCGGTCAATATCAATCACCCATACACAAAATTCTTGTACACAAGTTTGAAATTTGAGCTTTGTTTATATGAAGAAGCATTCTATCACTGTCATTGTTTTTTATTTGAATTGTTGGCAATGTTTAAAAGGGAGAATTCTTACTTGCCAATTACAAAAAAGGTTAAATAGAATTATCTATAAAATAATTGTATTAAAAAATTTTAAATTATTAGATAAATATTATATAATAAAATGAAATGACATATTCATTAGTTGAAAGAATAATACTCATCTTTTTTTATGGATAACATAAATTATAACCTTTTAAAAAAATATTAATTAATTATATTAATTTTAATAATAAAATAATATTTATTTATTAAAATATTTTTATTAATTAGAGTTAGTAGAATAGTCAAATAAGTTGAAATATTCTAATATGAGAAATGTCCATAAGTCTTTGTGTATTAATGATAGAGGTGGAAATATGGCAGGCGACAAGTATCGACGGCCTAATCTATATAATCTATATGATCTATGTTTTTTTATAAATATATTTAATTAAAAAGATTAACTTTTAGATCATGAAAAAAATTGATAGGTCTCACAAGCCGGTCTATATAAATAAATATGAATAATTTTTTCATTATCATTATGTTATGTATTGTACTTTAAATTAAAATACATAAATAAAATTTGATTATCTCAGAGAATTTATGAAAATAAGATGAAAATACCTTGTGAATAATGCTATAAATTATTTTCACAAGTTCTCTTAAACAAATAATCTCACAAAACTTATGTTAATTGGTAAGTTAAAATAAATCAATACAAATAAATTTTTAGTCTCATTAATTTTTTAGTTTGTTAGTCTATTTAAATATTATTAAATTATTTATTTACATATGTCTAAAATTATAGGCTTTTATGTAGACTAACAGACTAACTAGAACTTAGAAAAAATCAGACTCATAATTAAAAATAAGTTTATGATAGACTACAAAACAGATTTAGATTTCAGTTTTTTTGACAAACCAGACTTAAATTTAGCAAAGTCTATCTCGGCTTAATCTATTTAATAATATGTGCTGCTATAAATAGAACTTCTAGGCAAACATTCTCATTACAAAGGAGAGCAAGTGTTTTCATCTCTAATAATATTTTTGTTTTAATTTTTGTAAATTAAGATGAGTAATTTACTCAAGTATGTTGGAGTATTTGCTGTGATATTTGCATTGATGATAGGAACATTTGAATGCCAAAACATAAAAGAAAATTTTGGTGGCCGCAAATTTAGAAGTGGATGTATAGAAGTTGGACCATATGGTGGTTGTCCTCGCCACCCATTCTCACCGCCAAAATTCTGAAGGTGATTCAAAACGAATGAAATTGTTTATTTAAATAGGGATCAACTTTGAAAAGATATGTATTATTATGTTTGTTATTTTTATTAATTTTTAATTACTTTATAATGATCATAGTTTACTTAAAGAGGAGAGAAATATATTAAAAAATTATTATTGTATTTCATAAGGGTGCTATTCTGGGTATCTTTGAGGTATTGAGAAGTGAAAATTATATGAATTTTTAATAAATGTTTTTAGGTTGTTGTATTTTAAATTATAAATTAGATTTTGGAGTTTGTGTAGTAATCAAATCAATAGTTTTTTTTTGTTTTTTTTTATAAATAAAATCAATGAGATATCAAATATGAACATCAATTTTTAATCTACGACTCAAAATAAAATTTAAAAAAAATAGTGAATGACTTAAAAGAATACTAGTGCAATAGCATTGGTGCTAGAGAGGATCTATAAAGTCAGTATTGGTAGGTTTATAAATACTAATAGGATTAAGCATTGATCATCAACTTTTTTATTTGTATAGTGACAGAATCAAAAGAGAATTATGCATAGTCATAGTTTGTATTTATTAAAATCACACGCAAAACACCTAACTTCTAGTATTAGTCATAGAATAGAAACTACACTAAATATAAGATTTAATTTTCGTCATGAAGTAAGATTCACATAAATTGTAATTACAATCTCAAAAACAAGAAACCATGACAAAATTGATAAAAATAAAAAGAATTGCGTACTTATTTTTATATTGGTTTGACAACGAATTCTCTCTTGTTATCTATATTCAAATATCTAAAAAAATTGTGTGAATGGTTTGTCTAACCAATCACAAACTCCATTGATGAAGAGCTTGAGCAACCAAAGGAAAGAAGAAGAATAGAGATGAAAATGATAGTTTCATTCATGGTATGGTGAAATTAGTTACAAATAGTTTATATACTACAATCCAATGTAATTGATTTAACAAATTAGAAATAGAGCCAATGTTAATATGACATGTGTCACTGTAAGTTGAACATGTGTTGATCATATGTATATCTTATCTTCATTATCTGTTACCCCCATAAGCTTGTGATTGGTAGATATCTACCAAGGCAAGCTTGGATAAGCAATTGAAGAAAGGCTTGAGACCTAATGCCTTAGTGAAAACATCAGCAGCTTGCATGTGTGAAGCCACGGAAAGAAGTCTCATAAGACCAGCTTGAAGCTTCTCACCAATCAGATGGCAGTTAATGTCCAGATGCTTCGTGCGTTCATGAAAAACTGGGTTAGCTGAAATATCCAAGGATTTGTAAATCTGAAGATTGGGAGAGAAAGATTCCTCGAGCTGGTGTGATCTTTTGAGATATCATAGAAACACACAAAGCAACTTTGTAATGTGTTTCAGTAGGGGCACTCATTAACTGACTGAGTTGCTGAGTTGTAAAAACAATGTCAGGTCACATCGTTATCAAGTAGATGAGTCCCCCAACAAGCCTGCGATATGCTGTCACATCAGAAAACGTTGAACCACAATCATGTGACAAACGTGTAGCAGAGTCCAAAGGAGTAGACACAGGTTTGCAACCAATGAGACCTGCATGTTTCAAAATATCTAGACAATATTTTCTTTGGCATATAGTGATTCCTGTGGAGGAGCGAGCAACCCTAAGCCAAGGAAAAACTTGAGTTGACAAAGATCTTTTATGTGGAAAACTCTGTTCATATCAAGCTTCAAGTCATCAAATACTTGTAAGTATGTACCTGCCAAGATAATATCATCCAAATACACAAGAAGTGTTGTGAAAAATGTAGAATCAGTCTTGATGAAGAGAGTATGATCAACATGCGCATGAACAAAGCCTTGCTCTTGAAGAAAATTAGTAAGTTTCTCAAACCACTGTCTACTAGCTTGTTTTAACCCATATAATGACTTTATGATTTTACAAAC